TGGGGGGGGGGGGGGATTTTTTGATGAATAGAAAGTTCAAAAGAACAGCATTTATTTGAAAACTTTTGTAACATTAAAAATGTCTTTACTGTCATTTTTGATCAATTGAATGCATCCCTGCTGAATAAAAGAATTAATTTATTTTAAAAAATCTTATTGACCTCAAACATTTGAATGGGAGTGTATATTAAAGAAGTTTTTGCAGAGCGCAGTGGTTGGCATTTGTTCTTCAAATACACTGAACAATGATGTGAATTTGGTGGCAAAAAGCGATCTCATTTTCTTCTCTTAATTTGATCACCTTTGTATTATACTAATGCATTGACATGACAAAAATCCTCTGATAGTGCAAGTGTGATATTATTCTACCTCATGTTTTGAATATGAGAAAAGTGCATGGTGTAGCTGATGGGACTGAATGAATTAATAAACATCAATGAATAGATTAATAAGAATGCTGCTGTTTGATTATATAAGTATTATTGTAAATATCTCTGGATTTATCCTCTCAGGTCTGACAGCATGAAAGGAAGTGAGATAACACTGCTGTGGAAAGTACAGACAGTGTTATGAACCTGTGAAGCGATCAGTTTCCTAGCCTTAGGGGATGCAAAGCAATACTGAATGTTTCTTTGCTTTTCATTTAGCCCCTGCATTGTGTATTACCTTGGAAAAATGATTGAAGACCTTAATAGAGTTTTAGTGCCTTCATGTAGCGTGGAGCAGAGAAATGGTTTGGCTTTTGTGTGTGCGTGTGTGTGTAGCAGACTATAGAATATTCTCTCAGCCAAGACGAAGCTGCTGTATCTGAGTGCCAAGACTCACTCTCAAGCAGATGGCTGGTTGACGCAGGGCTCTTCCATTCCAAACTTTTTTTTATTTCTTTTTTTTTTTTTATGAGAGACAGCGAAAATGAGCGTCCCAAACGCTCAGTGTTTTTTTATTCTGTGAAATAATACGGTCATGATAAAAGCTATGCTCTCCATATAATAGATTTCCACTGTTGGATGCCCAGGGTAACAAATAAGATACATGTTATAATGTTAATTATGTTTTCTGAATGCATTAAACCTAATGCACTACATTTAGAAAGCAAAAGAGGAGAGGTTGGAATCCATTATTCAAGAATTGGAAGATGAGTTAATGAATTGTAAATGTTTTTCATGTTCCATGTTATGTTGGTCTTATTTGTACTGGATGTGGGTACACTCTAAAAAATGCTGGGTTGTTTCAACCCAACTTTGG